AAAGCCTCCAGTGATGAAGCTCCCACAACTTCTGAAGGCAACTTCTGTTCCATGGGTTGATTGTTCTCACTGTCGGAAAATTCCTCCTTATTTCCAGGTTGAATCTCTCCTGGATCAGTTTCCACCCATTATTCCTTGTCTGGCCTTCGAATGCTTTGAAAAATAGCTTGACCCCCCTCCTTAATAACAGTAACAGAGTGAGAAGGGACCTTGGAGGTCATCTAGTCCAACCCCCTGGTCACACAGGAGACCCGTACTACGGATCCTCTCTGTGGCAGCCCCTCAAATATTGGAACAGAGCCATGAAGTTTATTGAAGAATCTAGAATATTTTGGTCTCTCTTTCTCTCCTCCTCTAGCCTCACCTACAGGCAGCCCTCGACTGACCAAAGTTCATTTAGTGACTATTTTTAGGGAGGTTTGCCCCCACTTTACGACTTTCCTTGTCACGCTTTCCTTGTTCCGTTGAAGCATTGCATTCGGTCGGTAAGTGAATCCGGATTCCCCATTGACTTTGCTTGTCCGAAGGTCGCCCAAGGGGGGAATCACGTGACCCCGAGGACCCTACGACCGTCATAAATACGAACCACTTGCCAGGCATCTCGATTTTTCGATCACGGGACCACGGGGATGCTGCAACGGTCCTAAGTCGCTTTTTTTTCCCCTTCAGGGCCGTCGTAAGTTTGAACGGCCCCGTTGTAAGTCGGGGACTAAGCTGTAGGTGTCTTCATCCGGTTCGCTTCTTTTTCTTATGCTGAGTTATTTAGCTCAAGGCTAAAAAAAAAAAATCCGTGCTGAGCCAGCTGAGCTCAGAGGAGGTTGGCTTTTATTTGCCGTATCCTCCACCCTGCGTGCACAAACGGTTCATTTATTAAACCATCGATACAAACGTCCTTTTGTGATAACGTTGGGGTTGTGTACTGTACAGTGTGTGTTTTAGAGGAGGCACGTGGAGCCAGGCTTCTTGGGTGTGACGGTAAAGCGAGGGAAAAACATTTGATAAATTTGTCAGCTTGATGGTTGAGAGCCAGCCATCTTTGTTGAGAGTCGGTTAGCCTTGCAAGTTTAATAACTTATAATAATTAACTTGTCGAAAGTTGTAGGTCCTCCCAAACACTGGAGGTTCTTAATTTATTTATTTATTTATTTATTTATTATTCAAATTTCTATACCGCCCTTCTCCTTTCGGACTCAGGGCGGTGAACAGCCAAATATAAAACATTTGTACACAAAAGTTAAAATCGATTAAAAATAATTAAATAAAGTTTGGCCCATAATTTAGAACATTTCAATTAAAATCAATATCAAAATTTTTAAAAACCAACCATAAAATCAAGACAGACCGGCTAACTGAAAAAAAATAAGTTTTTAGGGCCCGACGAAAAGTCCGGAGGTCTGGGATCACTCGTATCTCTGGGGGTAGATTGTTCCAGAGGGTAGGTGCCACCACAGAGAAGGCTCTCCTCCTGGGGGTCGCCAGCCGGCATTGTCTGGCCGACGGCACCCTGAGGAGGCCCTCTCTGTGGGAGCGAACTGGCCGGTGGGAGGCTATTGGTGGCAGAAGGCAGTCCCGTAAGTACCCTGGCCCTAAGCCATGGAGCGCTTTAAAGGTGATCACCAACACCTTGAAGCGCACCCGGAAGTCCACTAATGAAGAGATTGGACAACCGCTTGTCTGAAACGGTATAGGGCAGGGGGGTGTCAAACTTGTGTTGTCACATGACGTATCGCGACTTTTCCCCCCCCCCTTCGCTAAACCGGGCATGGGCAGTGTGTGACGCATCCGGCCCGTGGGCCACGAGTTTGACAGCCCTGGTATGGGGTCTCCTGCTTGCGCGTGGGGAGGGGGCTGGACTAGAAGACCTCCAAGGTCCCTTCCAAGCTCTATTCTGAATAAAGTCCCTCCCAACTCTGTTATTCTGTTAAAAACATAGAAAATTGACCCGGTGGTCCATCGAGTATCATTTTGAGTTTTTGGTTTGCTTTAGTTTTCTTTTTCTTTATAATTTTTAATTATTTAGTTTTTAAAATTTTCGTCGGGTGGTAGACTTTAGTGTTTAAATTAATCCTTATTACTGCTTATTAGTAGGCCTTCTTATTAATCCCCTTATAACTAAATCCTTCTTTATGGTTCTTTGCCCAGTCAGCCAGATGTTTAGACTGGATTTGGACTACTCAGTCTTTCCCGAGGACCTGCGATAGGCAGATGTTGTTATTTGATGGTGTTAAAGGTTGCCAGCTATTTTGAGTCAAGCTGCAATTGACTGAGGGTGAATCTGTCAATGCCGATGAAATGGTGCTGCAGATGTTTTGGGATTGCACCCAAGGGGCCTATCGCTATATTAGTGTTATCTTCGCTTTCTTTTGCCACAGTCGTTCTATTTCTATTTTCAGATTTTTGCGTTTTGTGGATTTTTCTTCTTTTCTACTTCTCAAGGTACTTTCCTATACATTATCCGGATTATTATTTTTTTGGTCTTTCTTATCGACAATTGTTAAGTGTGGGATGTTATGTGGCAGGTACCTCTCTGTTTGGAGTCCCAAAGCATTTGTTGTTGTAATTACAGGTAGTCCTCGACTTACAACGGTTCATTTAGTGACCGTTCCAATTTACAACAGCCCTGGAAAATGTGACTTACGACCATTTTTCACATTTACGACCATTGCAGCGTCCCCACGGTCACGTGATCAAAATTCAGACGCTTGGCAATTGGTTCATATTTATGACAGTCGCTGTGTCACTAAATCATGTGATCCGCTTTTGCGACCTTCTGATGAGCAGAATCAGTGGGGAATCGAGATTCACTTAACAAGCACAATGATTCATTTGACTTAACAAATTATTGGGTATTTTAAATTCGTCTCAGCCAAATTATTTAATTCGTTTTTATTCTATTTTAAATTTTTGTTTTTATGTGTTTTATTCTGTGGCTGTTCACTGCCCTGAGTCCTTCGGGAGTAGGGCAGTATAGAAATCCAATTAAAAAAAAATATGCAATGATTCACTCAACCAGAAAAATGGCAAGGAAAATCATAAAGCGAGGCAAACTCACTTAACAAATGTTTCACTTAGCAACATAAGTTTTGGGCTCAATTGTCAGTGCCATTGTAACTTTGAATGGTCACTAAATGAACTGTTATAAGTCGAGGACTAGCTGTATATGAGAATGAAGATTTACAATTCTGTGTTTTGATTAGGTATTTAGGCTAAAGGATTGGCGTCTTTTTGACTGGGAGATCATTGAAATTTAAATGTGTTCCTAACGCTAAGAATAAAAGATAAAGAGGAATCGGTGTATTTCAAGACATGGGAAAGACAGCCAAAATAAAAACGGATATGCTGTGGAACGGCCAAAAAACAAAAATAAAAATAAAATGGTTATGTTGTGTTTAACAGCTAGGAAATAAAAATGATTGGTTTAACAACAAAGATGAAGATAAAGATGTTGGGTTTTATAGCAAAATAAAATGAGGTGGGATAGCCAAATAAGGAGGAGTATGTTGAGATTAATAGTTAAAATGAAATGAATAAGTTAAGTTTAATAACAGAAATAAAGACTATAAATGTTGAGTTCATTAGTAAAAATAAAATGATTATGTTGGAATTAATTACTTTATGAATGTTTATAATTATTGTGATGATTTATATTGTTAAAATATATCCATCTAAGCAAATGAAAGAGAAAAATGGAATTATAATTTATTAGGATTTAAGATTTAAGTAACGGGTTTTTGGGGATAATGGCATAGTTAAATAGATAAAACTGAGGGAAATAACTGAGTAAAATATTAAGTTGTGTTAATTGAAAATTAAGATTTGTTAGTGATTTGTATTAATTTGTGACCGGATCAAAAACTTTGTTTTGGAAAAAATGTGTTTTATGTTTATGTTTTAAAAAAATAATAAAAAACTTTAAAAAAAAAAGACATGGGAAAGATTCTATGTATGGATAGAAAAGAAATATGAATAAAAGTTGATAGATAAATGATATAGATAATAGAAAGTTAAATGACAAAAAAGACAAAAAAGAAATAGAAACTCAGATGACATCAGAGTAAATAGAAAAAGGGGGATTGGGGGAAAGAAAGAAGATTATAAACATAAATGTACAGTTATGAAATGATAGATTGGATAAAATGGGAAAGAAATTGAAAAGAAAGCATATATTATTAGAAAACTGGAGTTGCTCAGATACCAAATAAGGGAAATATTGCGCAACAAAGGAGAAAGAAAGGAGAGAGGAGGAGAGGGAGAGAGAGGAATGGAAGAAAGGGGAAGGAGAGGAAGAAAGGATAGGGGACAAGAGCAGGAGAGAAGGCGAGAAAGGGGGAAAAGAGGGGAGTGGGGGCGAGGAAGGGGAAGTAGGGGAGGAGAGGAGAGGAGGAAGAAAGTAGAAGAGGAGTGGAGGGAGGGAGGGGAAAGAAAGAAGAAGAAGAAGGTTTGTTGGGAAAAGAGAGGGTAGAAGAGCAACCCCAAATGTGCTTAAAATGTCTTATTTTTATGCTTTCATTAGAAAAAATATGTATATATATGATCAATCACGGATAAGAGAATGTACATTTACAATAGGTGTATAAGAAATAAAAATAAAAAACTTTTTTCAAAAAAAAAATAAATTTAAATGTATTATTGCGGTTTGTAACATTTGTCGTAAGCCACCAGGTGTGGTATTGAATTTGGCAGTCTCAAAGTAGCTGTAAAAAATACATACCTTGTAGAGGCCACCTTCATTTAGCAGCCACAATTGGGATCAGTCGTTAAGCGAATTAGTCACTAAGTGAAACTGCTCCGCACGGTCTTCACTCAGCTGTCGTTTGCTTTGCCAGCCCGCGAAAGTTGCAAATCGGAGGATCGGTCGTAAAGTGTTTTTTTTTTTTTCCCCATCCCTTTCGTAACCGTGAATGGTCAGGCAGTCGCTAAAGGAGGACTAATTGCAATATATAAATGCTCCTCTTTTTTTTTTTTTTTTTAAAAATAACCTTTTGTGTTTTGGTTCACAGCTGGTCAGCGAGAAAGTCGGCGGGGCTGAAGGAACCAAGCTGGATGAGGACTTCAAAGAAATGGAGAAGGTGTGTAAGGATAACCAACTAATAATGCATGGAAGACATGGCGCTGTGTGGTATGGACAAGATCTACATCAGGGGTCTCCAAATTTGGCAACTTTTAAGACTTGTGGACTTCAATTCCCAGAATTCCCTGGTCTTTCTCCTGCCTGGGGAATCCTGGGAGTTGAAGTCCACAAGTTTGAAAGTCCACAAATTTGGAAACTCATGCTCTAAATGCATGTGATATCTTTGGTACCTTCTAGCACCGTGATGGCGAACCTATGGCACACGTGCCACAGGTGGCACGCGGAGTCATATTAGTGGGCACGCCAGCTCAGCTCTGGGGCGCATGCGCGCGCCGGCCAGCTGATTTTCGGGCCTTCTGGGCCCACCAGAAGTAGGGAAACAGGCTGTTTCCTGCCTCTGGAGGGCCTTGGGGGGTGGGTGGGGAAGGCCCGTTTTTCTTTCTTACCTGGCTCCAGATCCTCTCTATTTATCTGGGAAGGGCGAAAACAGCCTTTCCCACCCCCTTGGAGGCCCTACGGAGGCTGAAAGGGCCCATTTCCCGACTCCCGGTGGGACAGGAAGTGATGTTTTTTCCTGTCCCCAGCCTCCAGAGACTCCTAGAGAGGCTCCTAGAGACTCCTAGAGAGGCTCCTAGAGACTCCTAGAGAGGTTCTGGAAGCTGGGGACAGCAAAAAATGTCACTTCCTGTCCCACCGGGAGTTGGGAAATGGGCCCTTTCAGCCTCCGTAGGGCCTCCAAGAGAGTGGGAAAGGCTGTTTTCGCCGTTCCCAGATACACAGAGAGGATTTGGAACCAGGTAAGAAAGAAAAACGGGCCTACCAGGCCATCATGTGCCAGGAGCGGAGGGGGGAGGGGGTTGCACACACATGCGCGTGGGCACGTCGCGCGCGACCCTCCCTGCCCCCCCCTCTTGGCACACGATGGCAAAAAGGTTAGCCATCACTGTTCTAGCATAGTGATGGCGAACCTTTTCGGCACCAAGTGCCCAAACTGGAATGCGCGTGCATGTGTGCGCACCAGAAATCGAAAGACCAGCTGGCCGGCACGCGCATGCCTGGTTTTTGGCCGTTTTTCAGGCCTTTTTCAGGCCGTTTTTCGGGCCTTTTTTCTTGAAAACCACTACTCTAAACCAGAAACTTACAAAAAAGAAAACCTGGCATTTATACAGGTGGTCCTCGATTTACGACCACAATTAAGCTCAACATTTCCATTGCTAAGCGAGATGGTGGTTAAGTACGTTTTGCCCCATTTTACGACCTTGCTTGCCACAGTTGTTAAGTGAATCACCACGGTTGTGAAGTTGATAACACAGTTGTTGAGTGAATCGCCGAAGTTGTAAAAGTGAGTCACACGGTTGTTAAGTGAATTCGGCTCCCCCATTGACTTTGCTGGTCAGAAGATCGCAAAAGGGGATCACGTGAGCCCGGGACGTTGTCACCGTCATAAATATGAAACAGTTGCCAAGCGTCTGAATTTTGATCACGTGACCATGGGGAGGCTGCAACGGTCGTAAGTGTAAAAAACGGTCGTGAGTCTCTTTTTTTTCAGTGCCGTTGTAACTTCAAACAGTCACTAAATGCACAAGTTGTAAGTTGAGGACTACCTGTATATAAATACCCACCCAAGCTTGTAATAGTTTTCAGGAAAAATTAAATCAAATTCCCGTTCTTTGCACATAAAAAGTTAACATATTGAAAATAAGAAATATGAGTAAAATGGAATGGAATAGAATAAAATAGAATATTGGAATATAGAACAGAACAGAACAGAACAGAATAGAATAGAAAATATTGGAATGAAGAGTAGAGTAGAATAGAATAGAATAAAATAGAATATTGGAATATAGAATAGAACAACAGAACAGAACAGAACAGAACAGAATAGAATAGAATAGAATATTGGAATGAAGAGTAGAGTAGAATAGAATAGAATAAAATAGAATATTGGAATATAGAATCGAACAGAACAGAACAGAACAGAATAGAATAGAATAGAATATTGGAATGAAGAATAGAATAGAATAGAATAGAATACAATAGAATGCAATACAATGCAATATGTTGAATTAGGATTGAATCGAATTGAATTCTTGATTGGCGAAGTGTGATAGGACATTTGTCCTCAGTGCATAAGCTCTCAGTGTACACAAACAATATAAGTGATAAATCGTGATCATAGTCATAAAAATACATTCATCATGAATCATAAGATCCAACACTTTAGTGATAGTCATAGGATACTTAAATAAGCAATCAACAACATATAAATCATGCTAGGAAACCAGGGTGGATAAAAATCAATGATTTTTTTTAAAAAAATCAAAAAAATCAGATTTTTTTGATTTAAATCGGATTTTTTTTTAATTTAAATCGGATTTTTTTGATTTTTATCGAATTTATTTCAATAAAAAACTTTTGGGGTAAAAATGTATCCTAAGATAGTTTTCTATTTAAGGTACATAAATAATTTAGTTTATTCAGCATGAAATGGAGCTTAGTTATGTAGCACAAGGCTGAATATTCTGCAACCCTGGGACTATTGGTGAGTCAACAGTGGGTCAAAGGAGTAGCAGAGATGACAGTTGCTCTTTAAAAATTATGATTTAAATCGAGCTGATTTAAATCAAGCCTTTTTACTAGTGATTTAAATCATGATTTAAATTGTGATTTAAATCAACTCGATTTAAATCAAATCCACCCTGTAGGAAACTAAAGTAAACAATATAAATCATAAAGATAACAACCAACAGAGTTATAGTCATACGTAGAAAAGGAGATAGGCAATAGGGAGGATGAGAATAATAATAATAATATTAATACAGTTTCAGTAAATAGTTTGACAGTGTTGTGGGAATGAGTTGTTTAGCAGAGTGATGGCACGGCGGAGGGAGGGGGAATTGTTGTTGTGTCTAGTTGTTCTGGTGTGCAGTGCCCTATAGTTTTTAAGACCCGTGGAGTTGAATTCCTAGCTTTGCTGGCTGAGGAATTCTGGGAGTTGAAGTCCACCGGTCTTAAAGTTGCCAAGGTTGGAGATCCTTGCCCTATAGCGTCATTTTGAGATAGATTGTTGTTTAAGTTTGAGATAGATAGAATAAGCAGAATAGGCAGAATAAAAACATCTTTGGCCTGGCAAATATAATACAATTATATCTAATATTGTTCCAATAACGAAGGCATTCCGGAGCCGGGTGTGACCACTAATATAATTATTTGCTCTTCAGATAGGCAACCTGCCTATTTCACCTTCGCAATGCACCTGGCGCCATGCTCAAAAACACAACAGGTCCCCAGCCTTCTTATCTTTTCATATTCATATTTCATATTTTTCATATTCATATTTCATAATTTAGTTTGCTGAAGAACCAGAGAATCTCTTTGGAATAACGCCATCATCCATGTATTTCTTTCTTTCTTGTTTCTTGTTAGTTTAGAATATAAAATTGCAAAAACACAAAGGAAAATAGCAAGGAAAATAGAGGAGGGAAAAGGAAAAAGGGAAGGAAGGGAAAAGTGTAGAAAAAAGGGGGGGGAAAAAAGAAAAAGCATTGTCTTCCAGCTCCGTTTGGTGCACCAGAATAAGACAATGCCTATATACGTCCAAATTAGACTATGTTGCTTCTCTGGATCATATAATAGATGTGGGCATATGCATAATTTTGTATTTATTTATTTAGTTGTGTTTATGTACTGTATATTGGAGGTGGTGACCCTTTGAGAGCTGTATGCCACGAAATTTCATTTTTAATGCAGGCCGATTAGTGTACATTCAAAGTGACAGTAAAGTTATTTTAAGTCCTAAGTCTAAAGTTACTAAGCAAACTGCTGTAAGCTGAGGACAATCTGAACCTCCAAATGCACCCCCCCCCCTTATTTTCCCCTTTGTCAACTCGTGACTTCTGTTTCTACAGAAAGTGGACCTTACCAGCAAGGCAGTTACGGAAATCTTGGCCAGAACGACGGAATACCTGCAACCGAACCCCGGTAAGAATTATGCCGTTGTGATCACCTGCCACATTTGTTCCCTCTGTTGTGATTTTGTTGAGAAAAACCTTCATGGGCCATGTGCCCCATGGAAACTATAAAAATATATCTCACCACCTCTCGAGGGGAAAAATGCTTCCTTTCCTTTCCTTTCCTTTCCTTTCCTTTCCTTTCCTTTCCTTTCCTTTCCTTTCCTTTCCTTTCCTTTTCCTTTCCTTTCCTTTCCTTTCCTTTCCTTTCCTTTCCTTTCTTCTCTCCTCTCCCCTCTCCTCCCCTCCCCTCCCCTCCCCTTCCCTCCTTCCTTTCCTTTCTTCCGTCCTTCCTTCCTCTCCCCTTCCCTTCCCTTTCCTCCCCCCTTCCCTTCCCTCATTTCCTTTTCCTCACCCTTCCCTTCCTTTCCTTTCCTCCTTTCTTCCTTTCCTTTCCCTCCCCCTTCCTTTCTTCTTTTCTTTCTTCCTTTCTTTTCCTCTCCTCCTTCTCCTTCCCATCTTTTTCTCTTTCCCCTTTCCTTTCCTTCTATCTTCCCTTCCTTTCCCTCCCCTCTCTGCCCATCTGCTCCTTTCCTTGCTTGCTTGCTTCTGTCTTTCCTTCCTCTCCCCTCCCCCTCCCTCCTTTCCCCTCCTTCCCTTCCCTTTCCCTTCCATCTTTCCTCCCCTCCCTCTCCTTCCTTCCTTTTCTCTTCCTTCCTTTCCACCCTGTCACTCCTTCCTTCCCTCCCTCCCTCGCACCCTCCTTCTCTTTCTTCCATTCTTTTCCTTCCTTCCTTTCTGGATTATGGTCCTAAATCAAGAACTCCCCGTAGTTCATTTGATCATAGAGAAAGCTGATCCCCGCTCAGTGGGCTATCCCAGGCATCGGTAATCATGGAAACGGACCCTCTGCAAACAGAGGGGAGTAGGTAGAGGGGTCTTCCCCGGGGGATTTCCCCCTTGCGGTCCAAAAGGCCTGGGCGGATCCAGCCGGCGGGGCAAATGCTTATAACCTGCGGTCACTCCTTGGATCGAAGCCCTGCATTCCTGCAGGCTTTGCAGCCCCATTCGTGAAGTAATTCCCACCCGGGATTCATTACAACTCAGCCACAAGGCTTCAGAAATATCTCCACCCTATCCTCTCCTTCCTTTGGAAAGAAAGAAAGAAAGAAAGAAATACAGAAATACAGAAATACAGAAATAAATACAGAAATAAATACAGAAATAAATACAGAAATAAATACAGAAATAAATAAGAATTGGCAAGCTTCACACCCGGCTATTTTCTGCTCCCTACCTTGGAAAGCAGCTTCTCTTTCCAGATGCTGTGATATTTCAGGATAATGATTTTTTTTTTTCTCAGCCAGCGAGGCAGTCTGTGATTTCTTTTTGAAATTGGAAGATCAGGTGACTGTTGGGGTCATCCTTGGTGCTCTCTGAGCTGGGTCGTTTTCTTGCAGACTTTTCATGACCCAACTAGGTAACATCATCAGTGCCAGAAGGGAGTGAGATTTCTGAAGAGGAGGAGGAGGGATAGGAGGAGAGAAGGAGAAGGAGATGGACTGTGGAGTCCTTGGTTGTTTTCTTGTAGACATTTCATGACCCAACTAGGTAACATCACCAGTGCCAGAAGGGAGTGGGATTTCTGGAGAGGAGAAGGACGATGGGGTCCTTGGTGCTCTCTGAGCTTGCTGATTTTCTTCCAGATGTTTCATTACCCATCTGTGCATCATCAGTGCTAGAAGGGAGTAAGGGTTTGCTCTTATTTTTATATATTTGTGGCTCCCTTCTAAGACTAATGGCGTTATCGAGTTGGGTCATGAAACATCTGCAAGATAACAAGTTCAGAGAGTACCAAGGACTCCATAGTTCAACCCTGAGCACTGAGGATGTTACCTAGTTGGGTAATGAAATAAGAGCCTTGGTGGCGCAGCAGACTAAAGCACTGTTAAGTAGCACCAGCTGTCTGCAATTACTGCAAGTTCGAATTTCACCAGGCTCAAGGTTGACTCAGCCTTCCATCCTTCCGAGGTAGGTAAAATGAGGACCCGGATTGTGGGGGCAATAAGCTGACTTTGTATAAAAAAGAACGCCGCTTAGGGGGGGCCTGGAAGCCCTACTAAGCAGGTATATACAAAAGTATGAAGGCTATTGCTTAACGCATTGTAAGCCGCCCTGAGTCTCCGGAGAAGGGCAGCATATAAATCGAACCAATAAATAAATGTCTGCAAGAGAACCACCAAGCTCAGAGAGCATCAGGGACCCTGCAGTCCTCTCCTCCTGCTCCTCCTTCTCCTCCACCACCACCACCTTCTTCTCCTGCTCCTCCCCCTCTCTACAAATCCCACTCCTTTCTAGGTCTGATGATGTTACTTAATTGGGTCTTGAAACGTCTGTATGAAAACAACCAAGCTCAGAGAGCACCAAGGACCTCACTGTTTTCTCCTCCTCCTCCTCCCTCCCTCCCCTGCAAATTCCACTCCCTTCTAGCACTGATGACATTACCGACTTGGGTCATGAAACATCTGCAAGTTAGCAGTCAAGCTCAGAGAGAGGGACCCCACAGTCCTCCTCCTCCTCCTCCACTACCACCATCACCTTCTGCTCCTGCTCCTCCACCCATTTCCTGCTTCCTCCCTCTCCCACTCTGCTCCTCAAGGCCTGCTCCCTTCTAGCACTGATGACGTTAACTAGTATGGTACGGAAACGTCTCTAAGAAAACCACAAAACTCAGAGCGTACCAAGGACTCCTCATGTCAACTCTGAGTTCCAGAGGTGGGTTTCAGCAGGTTCTGACCAGTTCTGGAGAACCGGTAGCAGAAATTTTGAGTAGTTCGGAGAACCGGCAAATACCACCTCTGGCTGGCCCCGCCCCCATCTATTCTCTGCCTCCCGAGTCCCAGCTGATTGGGAGGAAATGGGGATTTTGCAGTAACCTTCCCTGGAGTGGGGTGGGAATGAAGATTTTACAGTATCCTTCCCCTACCACACCCACCAAGCCACGCCACGCCCACCAAGCCATGCCCACCAAGCCACACCCACAGAATCGGCAGTAAAAAAATTTGAAACCCACCACTGCTGAGCTCCAGATATTGTATTTTTGGGGGCAAGAGCTGCGGAATGGGAATTCAACCATGGCTGTTTCCTCCTTATTCTTTGTTCCAGCATCCCGGGCGAAACTGACCATGCTGAACACGGTTTCCAAGATCCGAGGGCAAGTGAAGAATCCAGGGTACCCACAGTCTGAAGGCCTCCTAGGCGAGTCCATGATGCGATACGGCAAGGAGCTGGGCGACGATTCCAACTTCGGTGAGCATCGGTCTCTCCGCGAAAGGAATACTTGGCGGAAAATTACAACCTGCTTCCAGGTTAAAAAATAGATAGATAGAATGAATAGATAGAATAGATAGAATGAATAGATAGATAGATAGATAGATAGATAGATAGATAGATAGATAGATAGATAGAATGAATAGATAGATAGATAGATAGATAGATAGATAGATAGATAGATAGATAGAATGAATAGATAGATAGATAGATAGATAGATAGATAGATAGATAGATAGATAGATAGATAGAATGAATAGAATGAGCCTGGATAGCTCAACAGACTAAGCACTGTAATTTAACACCAGCTGTCTGCAATCCTCGATTTATGACCACAATGGAGTCCCAAATTTCTGTTGCTAAGCAAGACAGTTCAGTGAATCACTGCTGTTGTTAAGTTAGTCACTTGGTTGTTAAGTGAATCCAGATTCCCCATGGACTTGTCAGATGGTCGTAAAAGAGCCTGTTAGTACAGTGGACTAAAGCACTGTTATTAACATCTGCTGCTTGCAATTACTGCAAGATCGAATCCCGCCAGGCTCAAGGTTGACTCGCCTTCCATCCTTTCAAAGGCAGGTAAAATGAGGACCCAGTTTGTGGGGGCAATAAGCTGACTTTGTATAAATATACAAAAGGATGAAGGCTATTGCTTAACGCACTCAGGGCGGCTTACGCACTGTAAGCCACCCTGAGTCTCCGGAGAAAGGCGGCATATAAATCAAATAAATTTTTTTAAAAAAAAATAAATTAAAAAAAAAATAGATAGATAAATAGATAGATAGAATGAATAGATAGATAGATAGATAGATAGATAGAATGAATAGATAGAATGAATAGATAGAATAGATAGATAGATAGATAGATAGATAGATAGATAGATAGAATGAATAGATAGAATGAATAGATAGAATGAATAGATAGATAGATAGAATAGATAGAATGAATAGATAGAATAGCTTTATTGTCACTTCGAATGTACACTAATCGGCATACATTAAAGTGAAATTTCATTGCATACAGCTCTCAAAGGGTCACCACCTCCAATATACTGTACATTACATAAATACCCCCAAAATACCCAAACCTCCACTGTTGCTATGTCCACACAATACAATATGTTAGAAGGAACGCAATGTTGTCCAGAGTGGAGTGCCCTTCTCCACTCTGTTCCTTCCTTGCTCCCTTCTCCCTTCCTCCCTTCTCACCTCCCTTTGTTCCTACCTCTTCTTTCTTCCTTCTTTTCTCTGCCTTCACTCTCTTCCTCTCTGCTTCCTCCCTTCTCTCTCTCCTCCCTTTATTTCTTCCTTCCTTCCTTCTTTTTCTTCCATTTATTCCCTTATTCTTTTTTCTTCCTTCGTCTATTTTTCACTCTCTTCCTCCCTCCCTTCCTTCCTTGCTCCCTTACTCACTTCTCTCTCTCCTTCCTTCCTTCCTTCCTTCCTTCCTTCCTTCTTTCCTTCCTTTCTTCCTTCCCTCCCACCCTTCCCTCCTTCCTCTATTTTCCCTTCCTTCCTTCCTTCCTTCCCTCTCACCCTTCCCTCCTTCCTCTATTTTCCCTTCCTTCCTTCTTTCCTTCCATTTATTCCCTTATTCTTTTTTCTTCCTTCGTCTATTTTTCACTCTCTTCCTCCCTCCCTTCCTTCCTTGCTCCCTTACTCACTTCTCTCTCTCCTTCTTCCTTCCTTCCTTCTTTCCTTCTTTCTTCCTTCCCTCCCACCCTTCCCTCCTTCCTCTATTTTCCTTCCTTCCTTCCTTCCTTCCTTCCTTCCTTCCTTCCCTCCCTCCCTCCCTCCCTCCCACCCTTCCCTCCTTCCTCTATTTTCCCTTCCTTCCTTCTTTCCTTCCGTGCTTGAGAAATGCCTTCCAACTGTATTTAAAACTGACTCCTGGTGTCAGTTTAAGATACACACTGTGAATCCTGGCCTGTAACACTTGGATACCTTCTGCAAAATAGCCGAGATATTACAGCCCGTGTTGTTGGCTCCCACAGGGCTTGATGGTGCCAGCTGATGTCCTCCAGATGTGGTGGACTTTCAGAAGCATATCGAATTTTGGAACGATGTGCTAAGGACTACATTCCAAAAAAATAGGCCCAGGATCATCCAGGCTGGGGACGGACAAAAATGGCATTGGATTGAATTTAAAACAATGAATGAAATGTACATTAAATTGTAATTGAACTGCAGTTGGTATGATGATTCCTTAAGTGATTAAAAATTTAGAATTTCGTGGCCATTTCAGAGGGCTTCAAGAGTTCCAGCAAAAGGCATATTTCTGGAACTACGCTTGTCTGGGTCTGTTTTAAATCATGATTTTTAATTCATTTATAATGAGCAGTCAGAGAACCGGGAGAAGACAAAACCAGAGTCAGCTGTTGTGCACAAAAAGGAGAAGAGAGGTTATTATATATAGGCCCATTCTTCTTCCCTTGAGTTCTCCTTGTACAGAATTCCATATTTATCTAGGTCTAGCAAACTTGTTCACAGCCTGACTTCCCATCTAGAGAAATTAATAATACGTGGAAAAAAATTAATCAAGATCAAAGAATCGTAGATTGTAAGGATTTGCAAAGGATTTTTGAGATAATCTAATCCAGTGCTTCTAACAGTATCTCTTCTTTAGACCTTCTCTCATAGATCCTTCCTGATCCTTCTGACTGACCAGGTTCTCTTTTCAGCTCCTTCAATCGCTCCGATAGATCCTTCCTGATCTTTCTGACCAGAGGGATCCAGGATTAATCCTTCCCCGATCCCTGATTATCTGCTTCTCAGCAATGCTCCTCATAGATCGTAGGCCGAGTCAGAAATCTCTGAGGCGTGAACATTGCTCATAAGGATCAGTTGATCCCCTTCTCCTCCCAATTTACAACGGATCTGCTTTTTTCTCCCGATGGATAAAGGCGACGCCCTGCTGGATGCCGGCGAATCTATGAAGCGCCTGGCCGAAGTGAAGGATTCTCTGGACATCGAGGTCAAGCAGAACTTCATCGATCCCCTTCAGAATTTGTGCGACAAGGACTTGAAAGAGATCCAGGTAATCTCCTGAGGGGGGTTTTTTTGGGAAGAAGAGAGAGCGTTGGATGGGATCGTGTCCTTGAAGAGATCAAGAGATCTTGTGGGTCCCACCGTGATAGCGCAACCGTAGCCCTTTTAAGACGGGTGGACTTCAACTCCCAGAATACCCCAACCAGCATTGCTGGCTGGGGTATTCTGGGAGTTGAAGTCCACCTGTCTTAAAAGGGCTACGGTTGACCTACAGGAAGGCCTTAAAAACTGGCTTTGGTTTAAGGGATCCCTGCTGGATGTCGTTCTACCTCTATCCTGAATTGATGAATCAGAGGCATTAAATCTAGTTGATTTAATTTTATATTACATTATCATCTTATCTTGATATTGTCACATCAGCACCTAAATATAAATAAATAAGGAGGAAACTACACACATCCCTTGCCTTATGACCATAATGGAGCCATTCAATATTCCTGTGGCTAAGCGAGACAGTTGTTAAGCCGTGAATTAACTTAAGTGTTAAGTTGTTAAGTAAATTAACTTAAAACACAGTTGTTAAGTGAATCGGGACATCCCATGGACTGTGCTTGTCAGAAAAGGGGGGGGGTCATATTTCCCTGGGACTCTGGGACCCTCATGCCAGTTTCCAAGCGTCCAAATTTTGATCATGCGACCATGCGGAGGCTGCCATGGTCATAAGTATGAAAAACAGTCATCAATTTCTTTTTTTTTTCAGTGCCGTTGTAACTGGTAACTGTCAAAGAGTTTGACGATCCCGATACTTGTGGCGTACAACAACACCACAAATAATTTGTGTTAAATGTATGGCTTCTCCTTTATTTCATGATACCATTGTTCAATGGAGAGCATTGGCGGTACAGGTGGTCCTTGACTTACAACGGTTCGTTTAGTGACCGTTTGAAGTTACGACGGCATTGAAAAAAGGAGACTTATGGCCGTTTTTCACACTGACGGCCATTGCTGCATCCCCATGGTCACCTGATCAAAATTAAGACCCTTGGGAACTGACTCATATTTATGACGGTTGCAGTGTCACTTGATCCCCTTTTGGGACCTTCTGATAAGAAAAGTCAAAGGGATATCCTGATTCACTTAACAACCGTGTTGCTAATTTAACAACTCAGGTGATTCACTTAACAGCTGTGGCAAGAAAGGGCATAAAATGGAGCAAAATTCACTTAACAAGTGTCTCATTTAACAAAAATTTTGGCTCAGTTGTGGTTGTAAGTCATGGCCTGCCTGTATTTATATAATATTATGTAAATTATGTCTTACATAATATTATGCAGATGTAATTAATTGGACAAAATGTCCTCATTTGCAGTGTGATTTTATTACACAACCGATCCAGCTCCCTGCAGGCGAATATTCTCCAGTATTACCAGTGCTTGTTAATAACCATTTAATTGGGGGAAAGAATTTGCGTTTGAAAGTAGTTTAACTTGAAAAAGCCGAGCATACCCCATCTCTACTATTTACTTTTTTTTTTTCCTCCTCCTTCCTCCCCCCCCAAAAAGCACCACCTGAAAAAGTTAGAAGGGCGACGTTTGGATTTTGACTACAAAAAGAAACGCCAAGGGAAAATTCCGGATGAAGAACTGCGACAAGCTTTGGAAAAGTTTGAGGAGTCGAAGGAAGTGGCGGAGACGAGTATGCACAATCTTCTCGAGACCGACGTAAGTGTGTGCGTTGCGGCCAAGAATGGAAAGAATTAGAAGCTTTAGGTTGTCCCATGTCAAAATCCTATACTATAGGCCAGACTTCTGGACTTCAACTTGAACTCCTGATCCCCCATTTTCTCATCTGGTGTCTTAACCACTAGACCAAACTGTTTCCCTTAGCAAATTAGCGAATCAGTGGGCTAGGTTCGCACATTAGATTAAGCCCCAAACAAATCACATCCTAGTTTAATTCCAGCCAAGTTCACGATGACAACATGAGTTATAGCACTGGCTTCTAAGCTAATACCTGAGGTAACAAGGAGTCAATCAGAATAGAGGTGGAAGGGACCTTGGAGGTCTTCTAGTCCAACCTCCTACTCAAGCAGAAGACCCTGTACCATTTCAGACAAGTAGCTGTCCAGTCTCTTCTTAAAAATCTCCAGTGTTGGAGCATTCACAGCTTCTGGTGGCAAGCTGTTCCACTGATTAATTGTTCTGACTGTCCTTAATTCCCAGCTGAGATCGTCAGAGGCTTTTTTTCTTTTAAAAGCCTTTGACAATCCCAGCTGAGCCGCGCGATCATCAGAAGCTTTTTTTTTACTTTTAAAAGCATTTTTTCGGCCGAAGAGGTTGTAGAAAAAATGCTTTTAAAAGTAAAAAAAAAGACTCTGATGATTGCACGGCTCAGCTGGGCAATGGGGGAGGGGACAGGGATTTTTGCTACCGGTTCTCCGAACCACCCACCTCCATCGCTACCGGATCGGGTGATCCGGTCCGAACCGGGAGCATTTCACCCCTGTCCTGTCCCATTTGGAAAGGTTTAAGGATGATGCAGCAAACGTGGAAAGATGATTGTGGCTGGTTCAACAAACCGTGGTTGGAATTGTCCTTTGTCTTTGCTACAGATCGAGCAAGTCAGCCAGCTTTCCGCTCTGGTAGATGCGCAACTCGACTACCACAAACAAGCCGTGCAGATTCTGGATGAGTTAGCGGAGAAGCTGAAACGCAGGTCAGCTGGGGATGAGGGGGAGGGCCAGGGCTCTCTCAAAGGACGTTCCTTGAGTTACGACTGTTTGCTTAGCGACCGTGGGAAGTTAACCGCGGCGCTGTAAAAGTGTATGACCAGTCCTTGCGCTTGGGGAGTTGGATTTCTGTTGCTTAGCAAAGCGGTTGTTAAGCGAAACACACTCAATTTTTACGGCCCCTTTTTGTCACTGTCGTTCGGCAAGTCACTGCAGTTGTGAACTAAATCATGTGGTCGTTAAACGAATCCAGCTTCTCTCTCTCTCTCTCTCTCTCTCTCTCTCTCTCTCTCTCTCTCTCTCTCTCTCTATGCTAGCTGGAGAATTCTGGGAGTTGAAGTCCACAAGTCTTAAAGCTGCCTAGTTTGAAGACTTCTGGTCTAACCATTTGTAAAAACAAATCCCGTGTTAAAAAGTATTCTGTTATTCCGACTGACAGTCTGTTGTGGGTTTTTTTTCCTCCCGGTTTCCAGAGTACGAGACACTTCTTCACGCCCCAAGCGAGAATATAAACCGAAGCCCAGGGAACCCTACGAATTCGGAGAGCCCGCAGATCAGTCCAACGGCGGATTTTCCTGCAACCCAGCGCCCAAAGTCTCCGGTAAGAGCCAGTCGGATACGGACCGAAAGCTCACTGCAGTGACCTGAAATGAATGTTAAAAGAGAGTGGTTTTATCCCATTTTGCGAATTGCCTTCCGAGCTTAGCGGGAAACCATTTTTATTTATCTATCTATCTATCTATCTATCTATCTATCTATCTATCTATCTAATTTCTATACCGCCCTACTCCCGGAGGACTCAGGGCGGTGAACAGCCGAGGTAAAATACAGATAATACAAACATTAAAAGTCCCTTAAAATTATTAAATATTTTGGCCGAAAATTTTGAATGATTGCAGCTGCTGATCCAGTTTCTTTGAAAGCCTGGGGTTTGAGGAGCCCCCCTGCACTTCTGGAGGTGTGCCTTGCGCTCAGAAAAACAAACTCTTGTTTACTGCTGCTCCTCCAAGAGCTTCAGGATCATTAGTGGGCTGAATGTAGAAGTTCTGAGCTAGGCTTCCTCAGTCAGTAAAACCCACGAGTAGTCCCAAAAACCTGTTTTATTTTAACAGCTGTGAATTCTGTTCATTCACAGATGAGTCCCAAATAGTTGTAAAGAGTCCTTCGGGATAAGGCTGATAATCACCCACCTTTATCTCCCTTGACACGCTGCCAAAGACCTAATTGGCAAAGCCACACCGAGTCCAGAATCAAACAGAGCTTCAGGCTTTAAACTGAACAGAATTAACAACGTTGCTTCCTGCAAAGGCTCACGTGCTTTTTCTCTTCTTTTAAGTCTTACGGGAAGGGCCAATCATCTCCAAGCCTTACTCCCGAGTCGTCCCTTCTGTTTTAACTGTTCTTGCCACCTGGCAGCTCTGCGCATGCGCGCACTGGGAACAGGCTCACCCTGTTCCTCTGCCTTGCTGAGGTCCGACTCTGGAGGCTCCGGATGCAGCACGTACCTCCCAAATGGCCCTTTCTCTGCCTCCGACGCAGAACCCTCGTCCGAACCTTCCCCAGACTCCAGGACTGGCCCATGGCCCTCCCCAGCCTCCTCACTGTCCGACTCTGTTGCCAGCTCCGCAGGCTGCCCACAACAGTAGAGTCAATGTTCAGTTTTAACCACAGGAGCATTTGAGCTAGATTGATCTAGTGGGAAAGGCACTGGATTAGAAACCAGGAGACGGTGAGTTCTAGCCCCACCCTAGGAATGAAAGCCAGCTGGGTGACTTTGGGCCAGTCATTGGGAGATGAGGAGTTTAGTCCCGCCTTAGGCATGAAAGCCAGTTGATTGGCTTTGGGCCAATCACTGGGAGATGGGGAATTCTAGTCCTGCCTTAGACATGAAAGTCAGCTGGGTGATTTTGGGCCGATCACCAGGGGACTGGAAATTCTAGTTCCGCCTCAGCCAATTTAGACATAAAAGCCAGTTGGTGACTTTGGGCCAATCACAGGAGACTGTGAGTTCTAGTCCTGCCTTAATCATGAAAGCCAATCTGGTGAGTTTGGGCCAATCACCAGGAGATGGTGAATTCTAGTCCTGCCTTAGGCATGAAAGCCAGCTGGGCGATTGCTGGCCAATGACCAGGAGGTCGTGAATTCTAGTCCCATCTTAAGCATGAGAGCCAACTGGGTGACTTTGGGCCGGCCAGTCTCTCTCAGCCCAATCTGCCTCGCAGGGTTGTTGTGCAATGGAGCATTCAATATGTTCGTTACCTTGGATTACTTTTTAAAGGCAGGATAAACATTAAATGAATAAAGCCTCCTGGCCAAGAGACCTTTTCTTAAAGACATAAAGAATCTCTGCCTCTGAACTCCCTTGTCTTGAGCAAGAGGTAGGACTAGATAATCTCCAGCTGCCCCTCTAGGTTATCCTCCAATCACTTAAGGAGGGGGGAACGAAGGACCTCACCATCTCAACCCACCCCAAGCAGAATTTATCTTTTTTCCATTTTCAGCAGCCCATTTCATAGCTGAAATATTTTGCCTTTCTTTTGAGCAGGAAAAAAATAATTGTACAGGGAGTCCTTGACTTATGACCATATCCCCAATCCTTGCAAAATTTCCCAGGTTACTGGAATTTTCCTGTTTTGGGGGTGGAGGGGAAAGAACGAGGGGCTCCCTAGCCTCGCCCAGCCCAGCCCCCCCTTGGACTCCATTGCTGTTGCTGCTTCTTTGTGTCGCCCCGCAGAGCGTTCCTCCCCTCCCCTAGGCAGGTAGTCCTCGACTTACAACCACAAGCCTCCCCCGCCCCAAAACCTCCATTGCAAATCAAGACAATTGTAAAGCGACTTTTCCCCCCATTTTACAACCTTTCTTGACGCCGTCCTTAAGCGAGTAACACGGCGGTTCAGCGAACCCGGCTTCCCCATTGACTTTGCTCGTCACAAGGTCGACCTCCAGGGACCGTCATAAATATGAGTCAGTCGCCCAGCGTCCCAGTTTTGATCACGTGACCGTGATCAAAACTGGGGGGGGGGGAGAATGCCGCAACGGTCGTAAGTGTGAAAGGCGGTTCCTAAGTGACTTTTTTTCAGTGCCGTCGTCGCTCCGAACGGTCGCTAAACGAATGGTTGTAACTCGAGGACCACACCTCGTGTGTTTCGAGTTGTCGCCTGCAGAGATCTTTTGCGTTGGAACGGCTGCTTGTGAGCCAGCGAAGTGAGCGAGCATGTCGGTTTTTATTTTATTTTATTTTATTTTATTATTATTCCATGTTCGTTTGTTTGTTTCCTTTTTGCAAGCAGCTTCCTCTTCCTTCCGATCCGAAAAGCCATCCCGGACTCCCAGCAGGATATTTTGTGAGTGCTTCCGCGCCCCCCACCCTCCTTTCAAACTTCCTGCCTTCCCCTCTTCTTCCCTCCCTTCCCTCTTTCCTGCATGGATGCATGAGAAAACTCCCCCCCCTCCTCGCTTTCCCCCTTCCTCCGTCCCGTTCCCTGCTGCATGAAACGGGAGCTGGGGCTTTCTGTGTGCTGTAGTTGTGTGTCCATGGATCTTAGCCAATGCTCGGGGCCTTCGAAAGGATTTCGGTTTCTAGTCCTTATGGCCGCAACAGAGGCAGTTCCAAGAGAACCGTAGCAACAGGGTGGAGCAGTTAGGTTCCTCTCTGAACTTGGTTCCTTTTCCTGCAAATGATCCGTTACTTAGGAGCATTTTAGGGTGGCCTAGATTATGGGGGAGCTGGGGAATTGTTCCTCTTTGGTTCAGGGGCATTGCCTGCCAGCGGAATCGAGTTAGGCATTTTTCATTCATTCATTCATTCATTCATTCATTCATACATACATACATACATACATACATACATTCAAATATATTTCAAATTTCTTCAATCACCCATCATTCATTTATTTATTTATTCATACACATACCGTATTTTCCGGCGTATAAGACAACTGGGCGTATAAGACGACCCCCGACTTTTCCTGTTAAAATATAGGATTTGGGCTATACTCACCGTATAAGACTACCCCTCTTCCAATGCACACCAAATAAAAATTAAAAAACTTCAACTGGCTCACCCACAATGTAAAAGCAGCTGTGCTAGACCCAAAATGGCCCCTGCAACAAGCAGGAACCTCACACAGCCACAAAAAGCCCCAAAAAAACAACTTTCACACTTTACACACACACCACACAACACAACACAACTGGCTCACCCACAATGTAAAAGCAGCTGTGCTAGACCCAAAATGGCCCCTGCAACAAGCAGGAACCTCACACAGCCACAAAAAGCCCAAAAAAACAACTTTCACACTTTACACACACAAAATTCCACATACAGCTTTGTGAGATTTTGTGTGTTTGTGTAGTTAGAGTGAAACACTACAGAAACACACTAAATCTCAAAAAGCTGCACAAATATTATTTTATTTTATTTTTATTTTTATATGAAAGCTAAATTTAAAACTTCCTAAACTTTAAATGGCTAGGTCTAAAAAAGAACAACTAAAAAAACCCCCAATTAACTATTTTTTTTAAAGCTCCCAAAGGGGGAAAAAACTTACCCAATAGAACAGGGGTCTCCAACCTTGGCAACTTTAAGACTTGTAGACTTCAACTCCCAGAATTCCTCAGCCAGCTTTGCTTTGCTGGCTGAGGAATTCTGGGAGTTGAAGTCCACAACTCCCTGCCTGCTTGATTGCAGGCAGGGAGTTGCTTGCTGATGGAATGGATTCAGGCAAGCGAAGCAAGGCAAGCGTTGCGACTAGCAGCTAAGGTAAGCAAGCTGGAGGGGGAAAACTTTTTTCCTTTTACAGGGCTCTGGCGATCCCAGCTGCGTTGCCTGATTAGCAGGCAATGCAGCTGGGATCGTCAGAGCTGGGATCGCCAGAGCCCTGTAAAAGGAAAAAAGTTTTTTTCTTTTACATGGCTCTGGCGATCCTAGCTGAGTTGCCTGATTAGCAGGCAAAGCTGGGATCGTCAGAGCTTGGATCGCCAGAGCCATTTAAGGCTCGTCAGAGCCTTTCGGGCTGGTCTGCCTGGTTACAGGAGAACGACACCCGGCGTATAAGATGACCCCCGACTTTTGAGAAGATTTTCATGTGTTAAAAAGTCGTCTTATACGCCGGAAAATACAGTACATTCATCCAAGCCTGTTTCAAATTTCTTAAATCACCCATCATTCATTCAGTCAGTCAGTCAGTTATTTATTTATTTATTTATTTATTTATTCATACATACATACAAGTATGTTTCAAATTTCTTAAATCACTCATTTATTTATTCATATATTCATTCATTCATTCAATTATATTTCATACTTCTTAAATCACCCTTCATTCATTCATTCATTCATTCATTCATTCATTCATTCATATTTCATACTTCTTAAATCACCCCTCTCTCCCAGATAATGCAAGGTGCTGTATGACTTATGACATATTGGCCAGCACTGATCTAGATCAGGGATCCCCAAACTTCGGCAACTTTAAGACTTGTGGACTTCAACTCCCAGAATTCCTCAACCAGCCATGGGAGTTGAATTCTGGGAGTGGAAGTCCACAAGTTGCCAAGTTTAGAGACTCTGTTCTAGACCATGTCCGCCCAAAGGGAGGAGTTGAATGGTGCTGCTTCCATTCGTTGGACTACAAGTCCCAGCATTCTATGCATGTTGATAGACAAAAGGCCCCATGTCTCCACTCTGGTGAGCCAGTCAAGGGAAGTTGACTGGCGCTATTTCCATTTGTTGGACTACAAGTCCCAGCATGCCTTGACCGTTTGAGAGCCAGAGGCCATGTGTCTTCTATACTTTTGAGCCAGTCAAGGGTGGTTGAGTAGTACTATTCTCATTTGCTGGACTACAAGTCCCAGCGTTCCATGTGCTTTGACAGCCACTTTTCCACCCTTGACAGCAAGTCAAGGGCGGTTGAGTGGTGCTGTCCCTGTTCGTTGGACTACAAGTCCCAGCATGCCTTGATCTTTGAGAGCCAGAGGCCATGTGTCTTCTATACTTTTGAGCCAGTCAAGGGTGGTTGAGTAGTACTATTCTCATTTGCTGGACTACAAGTCCCAGCGTTCCATGTGCTTTGAAAGCCATTTTTCCACCTTTGACAGCAAGTCAAGGGCGGTTGAGTGGTGCTGTCCCTGTTCGTTGGACTACAAGTCCCAGCATGCCTTGATCTTTGAGAGCCAAAAGCCATGCGGCTTCCACCCTTTCGAGGCAGTCGACGGTAGTTGAATAGTGCTACTCCCGTTGGTTGGACTACAAGTTCCAGCATTCCATGTTCTTTGACAGTCAAAGGCCACATATCTCCAGTCGAGGGAAGTTGAGTGGAGCTCCTCCAGCTCATTGAACTACAAGCCCCAGCATGCCTTGTGCTTGGAGATTCAGTGGCCATGTGTCTTCCACCCTTGCCAGGCAGTGGCACTCCTCCCGTTCATTGAACTCCAAATCCCAGCATTCCATGTGCTTTGATGGCTAAAGGCTTCAACCCTTGTGAGCCAGTCCAGGGAGGTTGAATGGTGCTATTCTCATTTCTTGAACTACGATTCCCAGCATTCTGTGCACTTTGAAAGCCAAAGGCCAAACCACCTTCGTGAGCCAGTCAAGGACATTCATTCATTCATTCATTGAACTCCATTATTTCCCTATTGAACTCCAAGTCCCAGCATTCCATGGGCTTTGACAGCTAAAAGCCTTCCATCCTCATGAGCCTGTCCAGTGCAGTTGAATGGGGCTATTCTCAATTTTCGAACTACAATTCCCAGCATTCCCTCCACTTCCACTTCGAAAGCCAAAGGCCCCCATGGCTTCCACACTTGTGAGCCAGTCAAGGGCATCCTTCTTATTCATTCATTGAACTACAAATCTATTACCCTATTGGACTACAATTCCCAGCATTCCATGCACTTTGAAAGCCCCAAAGACCACATGTCTTTGTGAGCCAGTCCAGGACGACTGAACGGGGCTATTCTCATTTCTTGAACTACAATTCCCAGTATTCCATGCACTTTTGTCAGCCAATGGCTTGTCACTCGGATGGGGATGTCAATTGAGGCTGGTGGATTGAAGGGCACCTGTCGGCTAATCTCTCCTCCTCTCCTCCCCCCCCCTACCCCAGCCTCACACCTGGACCAGCCCTGCTGCAAGGCGTTGTACGACTTCGAGCCGGAGAACGAGGGCGAGCTGGGCTTCAAAGAAGGCGACATCATCACGCTGACCAACCAAATCGACGAGAACTGGTACGAGGGCATGATCCACGGCCAGTCGGGCTTCTTCCCTCTCAACTACGTGGAAGTCCTCGTCCCGCTACCTCAGTGAAACGGCTGGCGGCCTTCTCCGTGGCTCTTCCGTCCTCCTTTCTCCTCCTCCTCCTCCTCCTCCTCCACTTCTTCTTCCTCTTCCTCCCTTCCCGGCTGACCGACGCAACAGCCGGGATGGAGATGATCCTTCCTTACATTCCAGGGATGAAAGGGTCTATCCGACACTAATTTCCCCTTTCGGGGTTGGGTGGGAAGCTTTTTGGAAAAGGTGCCAAGGGCCGGTCCCGGAGGCTGTAGTCAAGCCGGGCGGCTAAGACCTCACTTTGGGGTGTGGTGAGGTTAGGGTCTAAGAAGCACAAAGAGGCCATAACTGCTTCCGTTGGGTGTAAGGAGCTCTCTTCTCCATGTTGGTTCATCCAGGTCCTCCTTGTGGCTTTCGAAACATCTCCAGGACCAACAAGGTGGCTTGTTTAGAGAATAGAGGTCTATGGGGATTGTGTGGTGTGTGTGTGTGTGTGTGTGTGTGTGTGTGTGTGTATGCTAGCTCCAGGCATTGCGTGGAGCAGCAATCACCGTCTGCCTTTCCACAGATGGGTTCTTCTTCCACCATCAGGGCCCTTCTTCCTTGTCCATGTTCTCCTTGAGCTTCTGCTAAAGCAGGTTGACCACCAATGAATGGCCTTTCCAGATAGGTCTGGCCACCATTCCCAGAAATCCCTAATCCAGCATCGCCAATCGATTTCCAGGAATTGTCATTCAATATCCAAAGGTTTTAAGTCATGGGTGATTGGTAAGGACTTGGTTCCGAAGTTTTTCAGTGTTTTGATTCTTGGTGGCCCAACGTGGACCATGCCCTTTTGTAGAACACCAACCTTGACGGTCCTGGGGTGGGAAGATCCACCTTTCAACCACAGGAGCAGAGACTTATGGGATGTCTGTATCCATAATTCGTCCCACAAGATGCAAACTTAACAGCCCACACTTCCTTGGCCCAAGTAGAGGAAGCCATCTTGGGTGCCCTTCAAACCTTTCCGCCATCCGTCGTCATCTTGAAGGCACCGCATTAGATCCTCAGTGAGTGCATCCAGTCTCGGCTTCCTGCCTTTCGAGCTCCTCAGGTTAACTCCGACGAATCTGCCTACACTACAGACAAACCAGGAAGCACTTTTGGGGCCTGTCCCGGCTTCTGCCAAAGAAACTGGGGACTTGTGGGTAACGGAGGGGCTAAACCCCACGGCAAAACTGGCCTGCATCCATGGCTTGAAGAGAAAACTGGGGTTGACGGGGGCCTTGAATTAGTGTTTCTCAACAGTGGCCCCTTTAAGAGGGGTGGACTTCAATTCCCAGAATTCCCCAGCCAGCTTTGCTGGCTGGGGAATTCTGGGAGTTGTAGTCCACCTTTCTTAAAGGGGCCACTGTTGAGAAACACTGCCTTAAAAATTCAGGATTGAACTGGGAGAGGATTCCTTTTCTCCCTGGGACCTACATCCTGCCGGATATCTGGGGAGGGGGGGGGATATTCCAACTTTTTCGCTTTCCTGGCAATTTAAACGTGGTCTTTGTGCTTTCTCGCTGCAGGCAGCTGGGCTAAATTCCACATACGCTAGTGGTTGGATTTTTTTTTTTTCCTATTTCCCTTCCAGGAGTTGTGTGTTTGGGGGCACCGGGAGGGGGGGCAGAAATAGAGTGGATTGTAAAACCTGTGCTACCCACCACCCACCCACCAATCCAGTGGCTCCCCGCAATTTTTTCTAAGGCACTTATTTTTGGGGGGAAGGGAGTGGGAGTCATCCTCCCCGTCCTTTTCATCAATTTTTTGGAAAGGGTTGGTGGGCTCGCAGCTTTGAGGGCCATACATCTTATGGGAAATGGAAGTGGGGGCTTGTATTTGAATTTCTAATTTACCGATTCGCTCCCCGCCTCTTTCTCCAAAAAGGGCTTTATCCTTTGTCGAAATTTGAACCCAGAGCCCTTGGCAGCTTACTAAGGATGGGCCAGTGCTGGCACCAGTTTTGGGAAAGAGGAATTAATGGGTTGCAGAGAAAAATCAATAAAATCCGTACTTTATATGGGATAATTCTTCCCGGCTTCCCGATGATTATCAATTCCAGCTATATTTCTTCCGCCTTCTCCACCCCCCTTGACCAGTTCTGTGACCTGCCGTACAGTCCTGGACGTGTAAATGGATTTGTTTTGTTCTAAAATTAGCCTCTCCTCCGTACTCAAATGTGTCCAGCAGAGCGAATGGTCTTGTTCAAGGGGTCTCCAAATATGGACATTTTAAAGACTACTGGACTTCAACTCCCAAAAAGGACTTCAACTCCCAGAATTCCCCAGCCGGTTTGGAGAGCATGGTCCATAAGTGGAACCAGCCTCTACAGTCCTGGGGTGCGAAGATCCATCTTCCAGTCACGGGAGCAGACATTTGTGGGGTGCCTGGACCCATAATTCATCCTACAGCAGGGGTCTCCAACCTTGGCAACTTTTAAGACTTGTGGACTTCAACTCCCAGAATTCCTCAGCCAGCTTTGCTGGCTGAGGAATTCTGGGAGTTGAAGTCCACAAGTCTTAAAGTTGCCAAGGTTGGAGACCTATCCTACAGGATGCAAACCATAGAGAGGGATCTTTGTAGTCCACCTCCTTGGCCCAAGCCGAGGAAGCCATCTTGTTGTCCTTCAAACCAAACAAACATGGCTGCCTGAGGGATTCTGGGAGTTGAAGTCCACAAGCCTTAAAATGGCCCCATGTTTGGAGAAACCTTGGTCTTGTTTAACCGTTTCCTTAAAAAAAAAAAAATTGCTTCTATATTTTTTTATTCCCCCCCCCCTCCCGTCTTCACTCGGTATAATCTTCGTACGACTGCCTCCTCACGCTGTTTTATTTTTATTTTTTTTCTCTCTCTTTTTTAAACCAGTCTCGTAAATTCCTCTCCTCCCATTATTCTCTGCCTTCTGTATCTCTCTGCCCATCTTCCACTCCCTATCAGGACCGCTTGAAGAAAGGGGGAAAAAAATAAACAAAAACTAACATCGAACTGGGAGTGGGGGAAGCATTTTGTAAATATCTAATCCGTTGAACGTCGTGGCTGCGTGCTGGCATCTCTGCCTCCAGATGGAGTGAAAACTGTCCCTTCGTATTTTCTTAGTCTGGACAATTTTATTGGGGGATTGTGGGGGGGGGGCAAACAAACAAAGAAACAAACAACCCCTTTTCTTGTTTATGCATTTATTTTTGTTCTGGAATTAAAAGAAAATAAAACTTGTATCCTTGAAAATAAAAACGAAAAGTATTAAATGGTTGAAAGCGGCGTTCTGACTTATTTGAGGCCTACAGCGCCTCTCTCTCGTCCTTTTGCCCTAGAAAATCTTCTGGGGGAGACCCCCCCTTCCCCATAAATTGCATTCATCAATAACTTATCAATTGTGGGGGCCTTGGTGCCCTCTGAGCTTGGTGGTTTTCTTCAAGATGTTTCATGACCGAACTAGGTAACAACATCAGTGCTAGAAGGGAGTGGAGTTTGCAGAGAAGAGGAGGAGGAGGACTATGGGGGTCCTTTGTGCTATTTGAGCTTGTTTTCTTGCAGACGTTTCACTACCCACCTAGGTAACATCATCAGTGCCAGAGGGGAGTGGGGTTTTCAGAGGAGGAGGAGGACTGTGAGGTCCTTGGTGCTGTCTCTGAGCTTGGTGGTTTTCTTGTAGGCGTTTCAGTAACCAACTAGGTAACATCATCAGTGCTAGAAGGAGGTGGGGTTTGTTTATATAGGAGTGGCTTGTGCCATTGGTGGAAGTGTTGTTTGTTCTGTAGTTGCTTGATTAGGCTGCTGTTTGTTGGTTGCTTGTTTGAGTTGGCAGCGGCAACTCCCTTCTAGCACTGACGACATTACCTAGTAAGGTAATGAAATGTCTTTTTAAAAAAAACTAAGTATAGAGAGCATCAAAGACCCCAAAGTCCTCCTTTCTCCACTCCACGAATCCCTTCTAGCACTGATGATGTTACCTCGTAGGGTAATGAAATGTCTTCAAAAAAACCCCAAAAAACTAAGTATAGAAAGCATCAAATACCCCAATGTCCGTCCTTCCTCCACTCCACAAATCCCTTCTAGCACTGATGCCATTATCTAGTAGGGTAATGAAATGTCTTAAAAAAAAAAACTAAGTACAGAGAGCATCGAAGACTCCAAAGTCCTCCTTCCTCCACTTCACAAATCCCTTCTAGCACTGATGATGTTACCTAGTAGGGTAATGAAAGGTCTGCAAAAAAAGCAACCAAGCTCAGAGAGCACCAAGGATCCCAAAGTCCTTCCTCCACTCCACAAATGCCTTCTAGCACTGATGATGTTACCTAGTTGGGTAATGAAAGGTCTGCAAAAAAAAAAAAGCACCAAGGACCCCACACTCCTCCTCCTTCCCCCCCCCACACCTCCTCCACAAACCCCACTCCCTTCTAGCACTGATGATGTTATCTAGCTGGGTCATGAAACGTCTGCAAGAAAACGAGCAAGCTCAGAGAGCACCAAGGACCCCACCGTTCAAACCCTGAGATGCAAGTCTTCCGTTGGCCGATCAACTTGACATTTTATATTTCAAGACAGTATAATTCCAGGTGAGCAAAGACCCTTTTTAGAGCCGAGTTCACTTCCGCAGGTTGACAATTTGTAATCTCCCCAATCTTGGCCACCATCGTATCATTCAGTGTTTCGGGGTCTACGAAGGGCTTCCTTCCGCAACCTCACTTTTGGGAGAAAAAGCTTAAAAGGGGCGGGGGGGTGGGGGAAATTCTCCAACCCAGCATCTCTGCTTCTTCCTTCAGTCAAGCCGGATGACAAACTCGGGTACCAATATATTTTGTTTTCTTAAGAATGGGATTTCGAACATATTTTTAATGTTCTTCCATGATCCTAAAAGGATCTTGGTAGCCTCTGTTGCTTCCCCAGCCTGTCCTATTTCAGATTATTATTATTATTTTATTTATTTATTAAATTTATCAGCCATCCATCTTGCCACAGGGTAACTCTTGGGCCATTTGCTCAAAATATATCACATATATTTTCCTGGCCAACACAACATTTGGGCAAGGCGAGCTACATCACTTCTTACGTCGTGGAAAACGTAAGTTCCTAATGGTGCTATGGGCAAACTAAATCTCTTGGGACGCGCCCCCCCTCCAGATTACGTTACTGAAGCTCTCGACTTGCCTATTTGTAAAATGGGCACACTGATCTACTTGCTAACACATCCGGGAGTTATTTTCTCTCGCTTTCCCAGCCAAAGGCTGAGCCAAAAACACGGATGATTTCAATCATTAAAAGGGATCCACGTCGACCCCCATCCTTTTCCTTTCCCCCGATGCACATCAGGGCTTGCAAGTTCTGGATTCAAATCCTGCCTCGATCCAGGTTTGTGACCTCTGCCTGAGTCCCAGGACCCCTTTGAAGGGCTGCTTCATCAGCTGCTGTGTTGGAGGGCAGTGTAGACCTGTTCCAGGATATGTCCGAAACCTTGATCCTTGGGTGTCCTAGACGCCAAGGAGCCCTGAAGAAAAGATAGAAGATAGAAATTATTTGGAATGGAATGGAATGGAATAGAATAGAATAGAATAGAATAGAATAGAATAGAATAGAATAGAATAGAATAGAATAGAATAGAATGAAATATGGAATATGGAATGGAATAGAATAGAATATGGAATGGAACGGAACGGAACAGAACAGAATAGAATAGAATAGAAAGAATATGGAATGGAATGGAATGGAATAGAATAGAATAGAATAGAATAGAATGAATATGGAATAGAATAGAATAGAATAGAATATGGAATGGAATAGAATAGAATAGAACAGAGAATATGGAATAGAATAGAATAGAAAAGAAAAACATGGAATGGAATAGAATAGAACAATAGAATAGAAAAGAAAACATGGAATGGAGGAGAATAGAAGGAATAGAATAGAATAAAACATGGAATGGAATAGAGTAGAATAGAATAGAATATTGGAATGAAGAATAGAATAGAAAATATGGAATAGAATGGAATAGAATTAGAATAGAATAGAATAGAATAGAATAGAATAGAATAGAATAGAATAGAATAGAATAGCAGAGTGGGAAGGGACCTTGGAGGTCTTCTAGTCCAACCCCCCTCAGACAGGAACACCTATACCATTTCAGACAAATGGTTGTCCAACCTCTTCTTAAAACCTCCAGTGTTGGAGCATTCACAACTTCTGGAGGCAGTTGTTCCACTGATTAATTGTCCTCAATGTCAGGAAATGTCTCCTTAGTTCTAGGTAGCTTCTCTCCTTGATGAGCTTCCGCCCATTGTCCTGCCTTCAGGTGCTTTGGAGAATAGCTTGACCGCCTCTTCTTTGTGGCAGCCCCTCAAATATTAGAAGACTGCTATAACGTCACCCCTGGTCCTCCATTTCATTAAGCTAGACATACCCACTGGAGAAGAGCCTAATGCTGGGAACTATTGAGGGCAAAAGAAGAAGGGGACGACAGAGAACGAGGTGACTGGATGGAGTCACTGAAGCAGTCTGCATGAGCTTAAATGGATTCCAGAGGGTGATAGAGGACAGGAACGTTGTCCATGGGGTCGTGATGGGTCGGACACGGGTGAAATCCAGCAGGTTCTGGAGAACCGGTAGCGGAAATTTTGAGTAGTTCGGAGAACCAGCAAATACCACCTCTGGCTTGCCCCAAAGTGGAGTGGGAATGGAGATTTTGCAGTATCCTTCCCCTGCCACGCCCACCAAGCCACATCACACCCACCAAGCCATGCCCACAGAACCGGTAGTAAAAAAATTTGGATTTCACCACTGGTCAGACACGACTTCGCAACTAACAACAACAACAAGACATACCCAGTTCCTGCAACCGATCTTCATATGTTTCAGCCTCCAGTCCCCTTTGGCTGCCATGCCCTTTCGCCAGTTTCACATCCCCACTGGCCAGAGGTGGGTTTCAGCCGGTTCTGACCAGTTCTGGAGAACCGGTAGCAGAAAGTTTGAGTAGTTCGGCGAACCGGTAGTAAAAATTCTGACTGGCCCCACCCCCATCTATTCTCTGCCTCCCAAGTTGGGAGGGAATGGAGATTTTACAGTATTCTTCGGCTGGAGTGGGGTGGGAATGGAGATTTTGCAGTATCCTTCCCCTGCCACGCCCACCAAGCCACACCCACAGAACCGGTAGTAAAAAATTATGAAACCCACCACTGCCCCTGGCTTATGGCAACTCAAGGGCAGGCCAGGGATGCTTTGCGACAGTCGTAAGTCGAGGACTCCCTGTATTGTTTATCAAATTTATTTGCCGCAGTTCCCTTTATCCAGGTGAGTCTTACCTTGAGTTTATCCAGGTAGGTCTGTTCTTGACTCCATGCATCCTGGAACTTCACCATGTCAGGTGCCCCTTTGTAAAACTCCACCAGCAGCATCTGGAAGCAGATTAGAAAACGATTAATGGATGGCAAAGACACAACAACCTGCCCTCGTTAGGCGAGTTCCAGGCAATCCTCAACTTACGACCGTTCTGACTTCCGACGGACCCCCCCGCGGCTACTTATAACCTGGTTCTGAAGTTCTGACGGCCAACACCACCTCAACTGTGGTAATGTAATCAACGTTTGGGCCCGTGGCAACCAGCCCACGTTGAGGGAAATTTGCCGTGTCTGACAGTCATGTGACTTGGAATTTATGACTTTTTTCTTTCGCTGGAAACCAACGTTTACTTCCAATTTCCCAAAAAAAAACACCCCTTGAGCAAAGTGGGTTCATTTAGCAACTGCTACAAAAATGGGTGGGAAATCAGGCATGATTTCACGTATAAGGACCGGCATAACTTATGCTGGCTGGGGAATTCTGGGAGTTGAAGTCCACAGCTCTTAAAAATGGCCGAGTTTGAAAGATAATACTCTAGAGTTAAATCCTCCGGGGCTGGTAGTTTTCTTGTGAGACGTCACCACTCCTGAAAAATTCATTTCTGTGACCCCCGCATAAGCTTTTTTAGATCAGAATAGTGGTGTGCTTGGGTCACGGTGCCACCAAATGACCCTGTGCAAAAGAATAGAGAGAAAGAAGGATACCATTTCGTGGAGAATGTCGTTCGTTAAAAAACCATCCTGGATGTAGGTAACTTCAACCTCCATGGGGATGCCGTAGTCATAAGGTCTTTGCTGGGGGAGGAAAAGGAAAAAGGGAAGGGGAGGGGAGGGTGGGAGGATGGATGGAAGGAAGGAGAGGAAAGGAAGGAAAAGAAAAAGGAAGGAAAGAAAAAAAATGTAGGAAGGAGAGAGGAAGGGAAAGAAGGAAGAGGAAGGAAGGAAAGAGAAAGAAAAAGGAGGGAAGGAAAGGAAAAGGAAAGACAAAAGAAAAAAGGAAAGAAAGAAAGAAAGAAAGAAAAATGTAGGAAGGAGAGAGGAAGGGAAGGAAGGAAGAGGAAGGAAGGTAAGAAAAAAAGGGAAGGAAAGGAAGGAAAGGAATAAAAGAAAGACAAGAAAAGAAAAAAGGAAGGAAAGAGAAAGAAGAAAGTAATGTAGGAAGGAGAGAGGAAGGGAAGGAAGGAAAGAAAAAAAGGGAAGGAAAAGAAAAAGGAATAAGAAAGACAAGAAAAGAAAAAATGAAGGAAAGAAAGAAAGAAAAAGAAAAACGTAGGAAGGAGAGAGGAAGGGGAGGGAGGAAGGTAAGAGAAAGAAAAAAGGGAAGGAAAGGAAGAAAAAGGAATAAGAGACAAGAAAGACAAGAAAAGAAAAAGAAGGAAAGAAAGAAAGAAAAAGAAAAATGTAGGAAGGAGAGAGGGAGGGAGGAAGGATATTTTGAGTCCTTGTCTTTTTGAATAAAACTTCACTGGTTTTTTGGCATATGCATACAATGGAAATTATCTGGAAGAAGATTTGAGCACTGCTTGTGCACAACCCTTGCCTGCTTTTCTTTATTCATTCATTCATTCATTTATTAAATAGATGTCTAATGGCTGCCCAACTCACACACACGGTGAACCTGAGAGGCATATAGAATTAAAAATAAACAATATAAAATGTCCAGGAATCTCTGCCCTCTTACAGGTAGCCCTCAACTTAAAACTATAGTGGGGAACAGAGCTTCACTTATTTGTGCTTGCTAAATGAGTCACACCCTATTTTATGACCATTTTGCCACAGTCCTTAAGCAAATTCTGGCATCCCAGTCTTTCTTTGAAATGAACTCTAGCAGAAGTGCTGATCACACAATGCCACAAAGTAGATCAACACTCTCTAGAATCATAGCCATAGAATCACAGAATCAGTCACAGAATCATAGATTCAGAGCCATAGAATCATAGTCTAGAATCATAGATTCATAGAATCCTAGCCATAGAATCACAGAATCAGAGTCTAGAATCATAGAATCATTGTCATAGAAGCACAGAATCATAGATTCAGAGCCATAGAATGATAGTCATAGAATCATAGTCAGATAATGGGGAGGAACAGGCTTCGACTCAACCCTTCCAAGACCGAGTGGCTGTGGATGCCGGCATCCTGATATAGCCAGTTGGCACCATCGCTGGCTACTGGGGGTGAGTCATTGACCCCCACAGAGGGGGCTCGCAACTTGGGCGTCCTCCTGGACACATGGCTGTCTTTAGAAGAGCACATGACGGCCGTGGCCAGGGGGGCTTTTTATCAGGTTTGCCTGATACGCCAGTTGCGCCCCTTTCTGAGTCGGGATTCCTTATGCACAGTCACTCCTGCTCTCGTCACTTCTCACCTGGACTACGCTAACACTCTCTACATGGGGCTCCCCTTGAGGAGCACCCGGAGGCTCCAACTGGACCAGAATGCGGCCGCGCGGGTGATCACAGGAGCGACATGGCGCTCCCATATAACACCTCTCCTGCGCGAGCTGCACTGGCTCCCGGTGGTCTTCCGGGTGCGCTTCAAGGTGTTGGTTCTCACCTTTAAAGCGCTCCATGGCTTAGGGCCAGGGTATTTACGAGACCGCCTTCTGCCACCAATAACCTCCCACCGGCCAATACGCTCTCACAGAGAGGGCCGCCTCAGGGTGCCGTCGGTCAAGCAATGTCGGCTGGAGGCCCCCAGGGGGAGGGCCTTCTCTGTGGGAGCACCCGCCCTGTGGAACGAGCTACCTCCCGGAATACGGCTGATTCCGGATCTCTGCACTTTGCATAAGGCCCTGAAGTCGTTTTTATTTCAGCAAGCCGGCCTGGTCTGAATAGGTTTTATGGGTTAGTTTTTTAATTGTATTGCTAGGGGTTTTAAATTGGGGTGGCCGTTTAATTTAATTTATTTTTAATTATTTTAACTTTTATATTGTATGTTATTTTAATTCTCGGCTGTTCACCGCCCTGAGTCCCTTCGGGGAGAAGGACGGGATATAAATTTAATAAATAAATAAATAAATAAATAAAATAATAGAATGATATTCATAAAATCATAGTGTGAAGTTTCCGAAAGATGCCCTAATTAAGTTGACACATAGTCATAGAATCACAGAATCAGAGTCTAGAATCAGAGTCATAGAGTCATCGAATCATAGCCGTAGAATCAGAATCATAGTCATAGAATCATAGAATTCTAGAATCATAGTCATAGAACCATAGATTCATAGAATCACAGAGTCATAGAATCAGAGTCATAGAACCATAGAGTCTAGAATCAGAGTCATAGAACCATAGATTCATAGAATCAGTGTCATCGAATCATAGACTCATAGAATCATAAGGCTGGAAGGGACCTTGGATGTCTTCTAATCCAACCCCCTGCCCAAGACCTTATCTTATTGCATCCTGGAGAAATGGTTTTTCTTTCTTTATTTTCAAGACACTGAAGCCTTCCCTGCGATTCCCAAACCGCCTGCTGCTCTTCCTGAGTCAGTTAAACATCCACGCAGTGTATTTAAAGCAGAAAGAGGCTCGTTGGTCCTCCCAGTTAAAATCCTTCAAGGCTGCCAGCACTTCACACAACCTGGCCAATTCTTAGTGGCTGGCTTGTTCCTACTTACCTCCGGAGGTGGCATAACCCAGAAGGGAGAAATCTTG